AGTAATGTTTAGTGAAATATGTTGACAAGAAAAGCTGAGGTAGAAAGAAACTGTACAATTGGTGCAGTATTTATGCATGATATTTGTGGGTTTTGTTACAAAGATTTGAATAGAAATGCTTCCTTCAATCTGAAATAAAACTGTTAGGCTTTTGTTTTTTTGTTCCCTTTCCTGTAGTTCGTTCCTGCCGAAATTCCTCCATTGGACTCCTTTGTTTACTTCTGTAATATAGTGTAATATATCACTTTGTTTGGGCTCTGGTTACAGACAGAGGGTGAAAAGACGTTCTGCACCACAGGCAGAACAATACTTGAGAATTGATTTGAAAATAAGTATTTGAAAATAAGACTTCGGTAGGCTACAACACTTGAGTAAATGTAGTAGCCTACTGTGTTTCATTGTTCAAGTACATGCCCAGTAAATCTCCGCCCCACCCCCCCCACCACATGTTTATGGATCGGAAGCGCCGCCTCTAAAAATGATCCTGTGGCTGAAACGCGTTGGGAAAGATGAATGAACCTCCCCTCCGAAAACCTCCTCAGTGACTCACAGCTGACTGGAAACAGTCTTCCAAATCCAGAGAGAATCTTCACCCGAGAGGACGTTCACCGTAGAGCAGCCTGCAGCGCACACACACTCTCTCACACACACACACACTCACACACACACACACACACACACACACACACACACACACACACACACACACACACACACACACACACACACAGCGTGCAACAAGCTCATTTTACGCGTAAAAAATCCAAGGCATTGTTCGGTAACGTTGCGTAAGAGAAACTGATCAACTGAGCAAGGCGGCTGCACAGGGACTTGACTCGAGGGGAGAAAAAAGACAAGACGAAGGAAAAAAGAAAAGATTTCTGCTCGTCTGGAAAAAGAACAAAAATGTCTAAACCTGATTACTCCGGGACGTTTAATATGGTGGAGCAGACTAATATGGACTCCTACCTCGGAGCATTAGGTAATACTTTAAATCTTATTAGCTGCACTTTAAACGGACGTATTGCACACACACACACACACACACACACACACACACACACACACACACACACACACACACACACACACACACACACACACACACACACACACACATTCGTTGCACTTTGTATTTTAAACTATTTTCATTTCTTTGTAGTCGTCTTTTTAATCTTAAATCACTAGATAGGATGCTCGAATCTTGATTTGCATCTGCACATTAGTCAAAGGAAATCACCACCATGTCCTCTCTGTGACCCCACACACTCAGAGGGGTGTATCATCAGTCTGCACTGTGACAAGACAAAGCCCCCCTTTAACAACAATGAAGTATAGCTCATGTTTTATTAATCCTGTTCTTATTAATCTTCTCCCAGATATTAATTTCGCCCTGAGGAAGATAGTGTGCCTGTTGAGTCCCAGCAAAGAGATCACCCACGACCCGGCCAGCGGGGACATGAGGATCCGGACCCTCACCACCTTCAAGAACTTCAACATGGAATTCACCATCGGGAAAGAGTTCACTGAAGACCTGGGACCAGTGGACGGCCGTACCTGTCAGGTGTGTGTGTTGTTGTTTCTGAATATGCAGTTTGACTTGTTTGGACACGTACATCCTTGATATGGTGAGTATCATTTCTTGTTATGCAAGTTTGCTTTGCGTGGTTTTTTAATTTAGGAAGGTCTGCAGGAAAGTCCTCAGACATACCGCTGAGTTTTTGTGTTGAAATCAACCCCTGCTGCTTTAATCCTGCCTTGATCCCACACTGAAGGATGTGTGTGCGAAGGCAGCTAATAACAAGCTGTCTTTCGACACAGTCTTCAGTTTCAAAATCCATCCAGGAACCAGAATAAGCAGCAGTATCATACAGGGGTCAACCGAAAGGAAAAAGAAAAGAAAAGAAAAGCGAAAAATAGGTTTCGATATCAGGAAAGAAGAAAGTCATCACATATTTTTTTGCCGACTAAAAGCAAATCTGTTTTGACTACGCCTTGGCCCAAACAATGTGAAAAAACAAAACAACACTCATCATTTCAGTATGCTGCTCATCTCATGTACTTGCAGGATTGTGGTTTGTATCCTAATGCTTGATTGCTCTCTTTGTAAGCAGCTTAGGATTCAAGCTATAGCTTATTGTAATGTATTGTAACTCATGGCCACATGTTTGCATTGCACAGTCTCATGAGAGCTGCTTCACACAGTAAAGTCACGCACTAACACTCCCTCTCTGTGCCTCTGCAGACTACCGTGAGCTGGGAGGGAGACAACCTGCTCTGTGTACAGAAAGGAGAGAAAGAAGGACGAGGATGGACACACTGGCTGGAGGGGGACAAGCTGCATTTGGTAAGGATGTGAGGGTAGAGAGGGGGGATATGGAACGTTAGGGGGAAAGATGCCAAAGTGGATAAGCTAAATGAGAGAGAACATGCCAATAAGACTTTGCCGTCTTAGTGGGAAGAATTTCTCAATTTGAAGGTTTGTAAAGTGTAGTGCATGCCTGAGGGGGGGAAGTAGGACCCTACAAAGGAAGGCCAGCACAAAAGAGGCTTGAAAGGACGTCCTAATAAAGTGCTTCAAGACCAAGCGAGAGCATCGGTCTTCACATTTTGCTTTAAAAGACTTAAAGATAATCTGTCAATGCTCATTAAGATGTTACACAGTCAGCATTGTTCCGCTAAATAGCTTTTGCTGGATTTTGTAAACAGGCTCTTTGAGTTAAGACAAAGAAATGTGTTGTTGCAACCAAACTCAGGAGGGACTTTAGAAAGAAAATGCCAGTTTAGATGAGGCCGCTGGATTTTAGAGTGGATTGAAGGAGAAAGGGAGCAGCGTGAGAATAATGAAGAGTGAGGGGGAGATGAGGGGGGAAGGAGAGATAAGTAGATGGGGAAAGAGTGGGAGGCTGATCACGAGGTCAAAGGATGACGGGGGATGTATTTTGGATACAATCCCAGGTTTGTGTTTCACTCAGTTCACTTTTCTTTGATGTGCCAAACCGTCCTATTGATTCTCACTCTTCATTCTCCCCCCTTTATCTCCCCCTTGTCCTCTCTGCAGGAGATGAGAGTCGCAGGCATCACTGCCAAGCAAGTCTTCAAGAAGGCTTAATGAAGTAACGGCAACAGAAATGTATCGAATTAATTCTTAATGAAATATAGAGACGGACTTGGAACAAGATTAAAATCTTGTTTATTGTTTTTAACATAAGAATTAATATTATGTGAAAATACCGATATGTAATCTTAATTGTCTCTGTGTTGTGGTACTAACAGAAGGAGCAGAATGACTTGTGTAAACATCCCTTACATACTTCCTTATATTGCACTATCTATCTTCACAATGTTATAAACAAATCATACACATGTCAGTCGTCGCTGTTGCATCTTTACTCCATCACGTCATTCTCCAAGATTTTAAATGTGGTATTGCTGCATATCTTCATTTTTTACAAGTCTTGAGAATACTAAGGAATCAGGGGTCAAAATGTGCTTTACAAAATACTTTTAAAGAAGATTTTCTGGCCATTTTTCCATTCAATAATTCTTAATTACATTACATGTCACTTGTTAGACGCTTTTACACAATTCTTATATTCATATTCTTAACAAATCCCATGGAAAGGCCAACAATGGGTTAATCAGTCTCTCCATTTCTCACCCTTTGGCACTCAGCCCAAACTCATTTGTTCTTAGGAATGTGTAACATTATTAAAAACACACCCGGGTCTTGCCCACAAATATTTGATTTCATTTAAAATAAAAGAAGTCTCACTCTATTCTGAAACAGCTGGGCATCTAGTTTGTAGCAATTAGTTGTTATGCTCAACAATGGAGCTCTAAGGCCCAGAGGAATCAGATGTGTGTATAGTTGTTGGAAGGATACACCCATTGTTGGCTTTGGGCTTTTGGTGGGATTTGCCTTGAGTAAGAAAAATATTCTCAAACCACTGAGCTGTAGCTGAAACCACAGACAGGTTTTTTTTATTCACATCAAACGGACTGACTCAGGAACAGAGCTGCAGCAGTGTTTACAAAAACATACTCTTTAAAGCTGTTAGCTTCATTGTAAATTATTCACAAACATATCACGGAAATTCTCAGTAAAGTCCTGCAGGGGGCAGCAAACATTCAGCAACCCTTAAAAGGTCACCTATTACGCTGTTTTTCATCAATACATTATAGGTCTCAGATATATACAGAACATGTCTCTGATTGGCTGAAACACCAAACAGATCAGGGGGGTGTTACCTTGGTTGCTGATTGGCTAATGGTTACACAAGCCAAAACATCGTTATGACATCATAAGGTGGCCAAAATCTGATCAGCTCATTTTCAGACAGGTTTTTATAGAAATGGATCAGGACAAAAAGAGAGAGAATCTTTGTTCCTGAAACTTTCAGAATCTCTTAACACAGAGGGGACACATGTTGATGTATAAGAGACATGAAGTAGAGGGGACACATGTTGATGTAGAAGAGACATGAAGAAGAGGGGACACATGTTGATGTAGAAGAGACATGAAGAAGAGGGGACACATGTTGATGTAGAAGAGACATGAAGAAGAGGGGACACATGGTGATGTAGAAGAGGGGACACATGGTGATGTAGAAGAGACATGAAGAAGAGGGGACACATGTTGATGAAGAAGAGACATGAAGAAGAGGGGACACATGTTGATGTAGAAGAGACATGAAGAAGAGGGGACACATGTTGATGTAGAAGAGACATGAAGAAGAGGGGACACATGGTGATGTAGAAGAGACATGAAGAAGAGGGGACACATGTTGATGTAGAAGAGACATGAAGAAGAGGGAACACATGTGATGTAGAAGAGACATGAAGAAGAGGGGACACATGTTTGATGTAGAAGAGACATGAAGAAGAGGGGACACATGTTGATGTAGAAGAGACATGAAGAAGAGGGGACACATGTTGATGTAGAAGAGACATGAAGAAGAGGGGACACATGTTGATGTAGAAGAGACATGAAGAAGAGGGGACACATGTTGATGTAGAAGAGACATGAAGAGAGGGGACACATGTTGATGTAGAAGAGACATGAAGAAGAGGGGACACATGTTGATGTAGAAGAGACATGAAGAAGTGGATTTTGCATAATAGATAAAAAGTTTTGGGGAACAAATTGTTTTTTGGGGTTTGAAAACTTGTTGCAGAAACTCCAAGCTGGAGAATGACTCTGAGCTCCATCATTCACTGTAACAACAACATTTACTTGTTTATGTCCCACACCACTCGTCCTCCTGTGGCTCAGAGACGGTCCTGAGGATACCGGTGCAGTATCCGGCACTTCCATTGGTGTGGGTGGATTCAGCAAAAGACACAGAGGCCTTCAGTGGAGTTATGGGATGATAGCTGTTCACACTGTCCTGTGTGCTGCAGCTGACCTCATAGTCTTCTGAGGAGGAAATTAAAATCAATATTCAGTGTGAACATACGTCAAAGTAATAGTACATCAAACAGGCTTTGCACTTTATGTGAGTTATGTCCATCTTAATGGGGCTAAAAGCATTTATGATTAAGGGAAATCATTACAGACTATAGTGCTGGAAACGGGATTTCATTTGTCATTAATAATGGCTACAGATGGTTGGAGCTAATAACATAGTGGGAGTCTAAAGAAGCCGTCCACACATAACAGGAAACTGATCTAATAATCACAGGAAATAATCTAAACAGAGTTCATTGAAATATATTTTTTACACAAACCTCCAGCTGTATCAGTTTGCACTACTTCGGCTAATTGTATAAGGTAGATGTTCTATTAACTGCAAGGCTTGAATATAAGGAGTTATTCGGGTAAAAAGCTATGGTTTTATAGCAATGTCAAAAAAATGATTTCTAGAATAATCATACTTATTGAAGTCTTTGCATTGTTATGTTTATCCACTTGTATTTGTTTGTACATAATCTTTATTCTAGAGCGCACATGGCTAATGTGCAGGATTTAAGTGCACAGTACATCTATGCATCTGTCCAATGGCAAGAGGTAATTTAATCCAAGTGGGACCAAACCCCACCAGCTGGCGGCAGAAAGAAGTTGGATTTATTGGTACTGAATCAATTGGAGATTATTAGGACTGCAATTCTGCATGATATAACATCCTGGTCACTGCTTTTATTAAGAAAGATTTCACAGTAAAAAGGTCAGTAGCTGCTATAATACACTAGTTTTATGATTATGTTTAAAATGAGCTTGGCTTCAAAGGAAGATATGTGGAAATTGATGAGCCCACAATGTCAACAAATGTCCAAACAACACTGCGCATGTCCAAAACTCATTACCTTTTAACTAGCTGCAATCTGATTGGCTACTCGTCAAGCGTTGCCCCGGTGATTATTTTAATGAGAAAGTAATGAGCGGCTACCTTGAACGATGATTTATCTTCTACGAAACACATTTAGTCTACTATAGAAGTCTGTTTTTGGAATAATTACTTGAGTTTAAACGTTTAAACACGTCGGGGACTACGACTTGCCTAGAACTGTTATAAACCAACCTCTGTTAAAAAAAGAAGCGTATTTAACATGAAGCGAATTGGTTAACGGCTAACTGCTAACTGCTAACTGCTAGCTTGTCAGTTAAGACGCTTTATTATTTCCGGTGAATGTTAATCAGAGGGATGATCGACAACAGATTTTCAGGATCTCAAACAACCTTCCAAAAGGATTAACAAACATGAAAGCAGCAGGAAAACAAGGTACCGTTTGGACACACATGGCTAACCACACTGACACGGGGATTAGCAGCACATTGAGGAGAACAGGTGAGTGCTCAGTTTTATTATCACCTGTGTTCAAATGTGTATTTTCAGTCTTTCAGTCTATCCAAGGATGTTGTCCATTCAGGCTTAAAACCATGCACCACAAATATCCAGTGCTCTTAAGTAATTAAGTACATTTACTCAAGTACTGTTCTTGAGTAAAATGTTGAGGTAGTTACTTTGTACTTTTACTCAGAAGGAAATATTGTACACACTACAATTAGTATATTTAGTTACTTTACAGATACATGGTCATCACTTAAATCAGACTTTAGTTCCACCTGGAGTAAATCCACAAGCTACCCTGCAGAATACAAAGTCATTCAGACTAGCTGCACCTTCACCAGCTTTGAGAACACTTTCATGATCAATCATTATAAAACACATCATATATATTATTCTGAAATGGAACAATCTCCATATGAGTACTTTACTTTTGGTACTTTGAGTATATTCTGATGCTAATACTTTTGTATTTTTACTTTGAATGCAGGACTTTTATTTGTAACAGAGTTTTCCTACACTTTGGTACTTCTACTTTTACTGAAGTACATGATCTGTCAGTGCTGGAATTGGGCCGGTACTCACCGGTACGCAGTACCGGCACTTCTGGTTCTGACCCATGGAGTACCGGCACTTCTTGCTCAGTACCGGCATGCTGGCGGTACTCCGGTACTCATGCACCGTGCCAGTACTCAACACTCTCCCGCCGTTCTTATTATACATCCATATATATATATACAGCCGCCCGGTACTCAGTAGATGCGTCATGAGGTGCCGAACGGACATTCTCATAGCTCTAACCGCTGGAGTTTCACAGCGGCTGTCAGCTGTTTACTCCTGTCATTCAAACAGAACGTGCTGGAGAGGGGGCGGGGCTTATCTTCTCCATGTAAATACTGTGGTGGAAACGACTATGTCAAAATTAACCTATTTGACCGTGATTTAATAGTAATACACGTTTCAAAATAATAATAATAATAATAATGCCGAAGTAACAACATACTGAAAACTGTTAGTAAAACCATGTTTTAATGCTTTACAATTTACATACCTAGATGCACGTGTGTTGTGTTTATGCAGTGCAACTCCCACCCAGTGGGTGGCTATGTAGAGTGATAGAACAGAGCAGGCACGCCCCCGAGAGAAGGAAAGCAAGTCACGTCACAAATTAGCATTTCTAAAATGTTAGCGTGGATTAATAAAAGTGCAAAAAGACAGCGGTTGTCGCCGGAAGAAACTTCAAATACAGAGAATGCTGTGCCTGTGTTGGAAATTGTGTCTGATGGGGAGCTTTCTTTGGTTGATCCTCCTGCCTCCAAGTTCTAGTGCATTAGCATTAGCACTAGCTCCGCCGCCTCCTCCAGAGCCTCTAACGTTAGCTGCTGCTGGCTCAACTGCCACCACCAACACCGGGCAAAGCGATGCACCTGACTGCTGGACAACGGACCAGGTGCAATATTTTTGCAAGACCAATGCATGGCTCCTTCTTAAAGATAAGAAGCTAGGATGTCGGATATGTCAAGATGTCAAATCTTTGGGAATACACACTGGACAAGGACTGAAACTGTCAACTGAATGGGGTGAGTGTGCAGTGTCTCATTTCGGTGTTGACAAGGGCAAACAACAAGCTAGCCTGAGAAGAAAAATCAAAGAACATAAAGAATCACAAGCCCATGTAAAAGCTGCTGACATCCTTACATCTGCTTCACGTGAAACTATTCAACATCAAGTGCAGTCTATGCATAAATCTGAATTAGACACCACTATCAGAGTTTTTCGAACGGCATATACAATTGGCAAACATAGCCGGCCATTCACAGACATGCCAATTGATTTGAATGTACAGAAACTGAATGGGCTGAACGTGGGCAGGGTTTTGCACTCCAATAAAACCTGTGGCGAAATCATCGACCACATAGCTCATGAGCTGAAGAAAAAAATGGCAAAAGACATTACAGAAAACCAAAGAAAACTCTGTGTTTTGGTCGATGAATCTATCACTATTAGTGGTAAAACGGTGCTTGTTGTGTGTCTACGCTCAGCATTAGCTGATGCTGAGCCCGAAACGTTTTTTTGGGAGCTGATCGAGTTGGATGGAACAACGGCTGATGACATCACAAAGGCGTTAATGGAGTGTCTTGGAAGAGATTTTAACGAGGACTTTTTAGGTCAGTGTTTAGTTTCTTTTGCATGTGATGGGGCTTCAGTCATGCTAGGGAAGAGAACAGGCGTTGCTACCCAGTTGTGTAGTAAATTCCCAAGCCTGTTTGTGTGGCACTGCTCCAATCATCGTCTAGAGCTGGCAGTTGGGGATGTGGTCAAGGAGGTCTCAGGGCTCAATCATTTCCAGATCTTTTTTGACAAACTCTATTCCTTGTTCCATGCCTCCCCCAAAAATCAGAGGCAGTTTTAGCGCAGTGTGCGCAAGCAGTCGGACAGCGTCTCCTGGTGATAGGGCGTGTTTTGTCCATCCGCTGGGTGGCTTCAAGTGAAAGGAGCGTCAGAGCAGTCTGGGAAAACTACCGAGTGCTTCATGATCACTTCACAAATGCTGCAAACGACACGAGCAGGGATTCCAGAGACAGAGCAAAGTACAAGAGCCTGGATGATGTGCTCACATCTGCAACGTTTGTCAGCAATCTGGGACTGATGTACGATGCGCTCACAGAGCTCAGCGACCTCTCTCGGCAACTCCAAAAAGAGAGATGACACTGCCTACAGCAGATAGGCTCTTAACTCGAGAAATACGAGTTTTTGAATCCATGGTCACCATGCCTGGCCCACACATGACTACAGTTCATACAGCTCTAGCTGAGAAGTCCTTCAAGGGTGTTGCCCTGCGTGAGAATGGCAGGCTTGTACAGATTCATGCAGGTCAGTTTTTTCCGCAGTATGGTAGAGAATCTGAGACACAGAATGACTTCCACAACCTCCTCTCATGTCAGCACAAGAGAAATCCCATTACATGGCCGGGAGGCCCGGGACAATCAGCTAATCCAGGACATGAAAGTTATCCATCCTGGAAGTTGGCCTGAAGAGGAGTTAGACGTACAGTATGGGGACGTAGAGGTGCTACGTTTGTGCGAAGTGCTGAAAGTGGACAGAAGAGAGACTGTTCAGGGCTTTCGCGAATACAAGGAAACCAGGGCATCCCGTACACCTGCTGCCATGGAGCCTCTACTGAAAGCAGTCCGAAACATCGCTGTCTCCACTAGTGAGTGTGAGCGGGCATTCAGCTGCATGAACGATATCCTTACTGCAAAAAGGAATGCTCTCTCTGTCAGCCGACGGTCCAGCCTGGTTTTCATTAAATGTATTGGACCATCACTAGGACAGTTCAATCCGGAACAGTATGTGAGGTCCTGGCTGGCAAAGGGAAGGAGAAGTGCTGATGAAAGAGCCTGTCCAGCTCCAGCCCCTGATACTGATGTCCCCAAGGCCTTCTGGAGCCTTTTCTAACAATGTGAAGTATATTGCAAAGCAGCTCACCCAGTGAGAAGACTTTTGGCATAATGTGCCGATTTGTACAGATCCTGGAGATAGAAGGACTTCAGACCAACCAGGGAGTTATCTGATCAGCTTGGTGTTCAATGTAACTCTTTACCATGGCTCAGACTTTGTTACTTGCAGTTACAGTTTCTCATTTTAGATTGTGCAAATTTTGCATTTGTTTTTACATGTTCTTTGTTCATGCTCTTTATCATTTTTCTGAGTTGGAAAGTTAGATTGCATCATAGTTTACTTTATACATATTTGTATTCTTCAGTGGTGAAGTATATTGCAAAGCAGCTCAGCCATGTGAGAAGACTTTTGGCACTTTTTCGTTTTTCGTTTTCTGAGTTGGAAAGTTAGATTGCATTCAAAATGTACAGAAATACTTAATTTTGTTAAAGCTTTTTATAAAAAATGCTTCTGACCAGAGCTTTGTTTCCTTGTCATTCATGTTGAACACCACCAGAGGGGCTCTCACCTGAAAGGTCTCTGCTGCATGTGTCTTCAGCAGAAGATCTAGACTTTGATTGCTATATTTTCAGTTAATATTGACCTTACTGAGCTTTAGCCATATCCGCTGCCTATCATAAAAAATGTTAAGTACAGTGAACCTTTCTAAAATATACAGTAGTAAAGAGACAAACCCACCAGCATTATAGTAGCCACATTCTTGTTTGTGGGCTGTATATATAAAATTGACTTGAAAAAGTTGCTGATTTTAGAGTACTGGCACCTTTTTCATTCCAATTCAAGCACTGATCTGGGTACTTCTTTCACCTCTGGTCCCTGGTTTAGAGACTATCTGCGTCACGTTTTACTGTCAACATCTCGTATAAAGACATGTAAAATGCATTGGCTTGCATAATATAAACGTGGATGCATTAGGCGTTTCTCACCTGGGTTGAACAGTGGTACATTTGAGGTCTCCTGGCAGTGTCCATTCTGCGCTAAAGGCTGCAGCTGAGTGAAGGGTGCTGCTGGAAACATCTCCATCAGAGAAATGGATATACTGCCACCTGTCACACAGGAAACACACCACAAATAGCTTAAACACACCATAGGACTATTCAGAATCATTGTCACAAGGAATTTATCCTACAATCATTATTATACCTCATCTAATTTGGAACATAGTATTTTATATTCAAGACAAATGTATACTGATTGGCCATTGGGGGTCACTATAATCTCCCACAAGCTATTATCTCAAATCTACATAACTGTTTCCAGGAAAGGTTCCTCATACTTCTCCTTTTATATATATGAACAGCCCTGTTCTATTGTAGTGTACAAAAGCTTAGTGTGTCTCACTACTTAAGTTGTACTGTGCTCATGTATGTTTTAAGTGCAAACACTCACCTCCTGTAGTCTTGAAAGGTGGTTTCAAAAATGCCTTTTCCTTTTTCTCTGTAAAAAATAACAAGTCAGATTCGACTCGGATATGTTACAATGTTGTTATGGTGGAAAAAGTATCAACTTGTTTATTCAGCAAAATGCAGATGTTTGCCTCCTAGTGCCAAGTTCTTTTTACATTTGAATTTCTCTACAAATAAAACTTTAAAATCCATAAAATGTGTGTGAGGAAAGATTAAGAAGCCACAGACATACAACAGACAAAATAGAATAACAAAAAAGGGGAAAGAAAAGGAACAAAGCATTCATAATTAATAAAAATACACCTTAAAGGGGACCTATCATGCAAAATGCACTTTTATACGTCTTTTATACATGAATACGTGTCCCCGGTGTGTCAGGGAACTCACCAAGTGTCAGGAAACACAACCCTCTCTCTTTTCCTCCGTACCCAAATCTCAAAAAAAGGGGCTGCAACGGATCTGATAGACTGATCCAGATTTGAACACTGTCCTGACGTCAGGACGGTGGTGCTACGGCTATTGGGCCAACTCTCCACCTATCAGGGGAATGTGGGGTTGGGCCACGGACGGCCATTGCCGCTCGAAAGCGCTGGAGACGCTGTAGTACATATGCCAGGCCTGTAAGTGGCGCACTAGTCTGCCACAAAAGCAGCGAAGAAGACTTCCCGCGCATGGTTGCCATGGTTGCCTTTCTGTTTATTCTCCGCTGTGGCTCTTTTTCTCCCTCCCCGAGGCAAGCGTTTGCTCCCGCTGCTGTAATTCAATGCAATCCCTCCCTGTCGAGGCAAGCGCTGTCATTCTCTCCGGTTAGTCCACCGGTCAACATGTCCGTTAAAGTTTAAATCTTCCGGACAAAATTAGAAAAGTGCCGGTCTTTGTTATTTATTGAGCTTTAAAACAAATGAATAACGACTCTATATAATAAAACACGGAGGACGGAGATCTATTTTGGAGGGCGTGGTCAGCTGCAGCTCACAGAATCAGCCCCCTCAGCAAGTAGAGCCAAATGAGGCATGGCTAAAATGCATGATCTGTTTGGTATTTTGAAAACAGTATAAATATACCTTATATAGGTATGGCCCTACAAGATATCATTGAAATATAGCATGACGGGTGTTCTTTTAAATAAAGGGCAGAAAAACTAACCAACAAGGAAAATAATTTGACACCCTACAAGCTGTTTTAAAAAACCCCTCTAGGCTTGTTAAGGCAAAGAAATACTAAACTAAAGTATGTATAAGTCTGATATGATTTCCCACACATGTCCAGTTACCTTTACTACAGCCTCAATGTAAATCCATAAGTTAATGCATTTCATTTCAATCATTTCACTTCACAGTTATCATTTCTCCCACTCTGAGCCCATTCACTTTGTGTGAGTCTCATACTGGACTTTCAAACTAGTAGTGAAACCTGAAGTTCTGGTATTGACACATCGATTCACTGGAAATAACATAAATGAAATACAAAAACAACGTCAGTCAAAACATCGCATTGACTGTGCGTAGGAGCCGCTCTCAGTATGAGTCAGTGCCTGTGAAGTTTGCGTCACATTATACCAAATCAGTGTCAGGCTGAACCTACAGGATGTGGTTTCCTCCTTGTCATCTTCACTGAGCGTGTTTAACGTCACGTTATCACACAGCTCCTAAACCCTTACTCAAAAATGATCTGCTTTTCAAACTTTTCTTTTTGTTAATTAACAGACCAAGTATTATAAGTTTCATTTGACCATACTCAGATTAAAATGCATTGCCTGTAAAAACGGAAGCAGTGGTCTGAAGGACATTTGCAGTGACGTTCAACTGTACTTCAGGTCTTTGTTGTGGCTCACATGCGATTTACTCGCAGTGAGTGGGCATGCCTGCACGTCGCCTCTTCGGGAAGACTTTCAACCAGAACAATTAGAACAACAACGACACATTTGACACGTTGTACTGACCTGCTTTGTAAGATTTCCGCTTTCCCCTCCAGCACACCAGACCAAACAGGATGAGCGCGGTCAACACGAGTCCTGACCACAGGCCGGCAGGTAACATCCAGTGACAATCTGAGAGGGGGTTTTAGGGCGACATAAATACGTTTCAACTTGTTATAATGACTTAAGTTCTGGGAATTGAAGCGAGTGAAAACTCCCTTGATTCCTCCTTATCAATGTTCTACGGTAATGTGATTAAAAGGGCTTTCTAAAAATATTCAAAAAAACCCGTCATGATTAAAAAATACATTCCATTTCTATTTATTTCCGGTATTGGTCAATTATGGTACGACACAATGAACCCAAAGCTACCGTCATTAGAGACATCTTAACATTTGCTTACTTACTAATCTGAACTAATGTCAGAAAGAATACTGCTTTCCGGTATTCCTCCATCTTGTTGACTGTAACTCCCTCTCTTGTATATAAGCATATCAAGGACTCTACTAACTCTTTTGTCCCATGCTACCTCGTGTGTGCGATGACTACTTCCATTCTTGCAAGGATAATAAAGGTCCTGATGTTGAAGATCAAGCCGGTGACGAGTGATGTTTTTCTAACAGGAATGATTACTATCAGCTTTACTTCCTCTCTCAAAAGCTTGGTAATATGATATACAGTACTAACTCACTCAATCAATGTTTATCTATATAGCCCAATATCACAAATGTTAACTAACTGAACTAACAGTTAATGTAACTAACTGAAACTCAAGAATGTGAAGATATCATTCAGATTTATAATGACGGCATTAATGCAAAAATGTAGCCTTACGAGATATGAAGTCGCCACAGGTAGCATCAGTTTTTAGGGATCCTGAGGTTTCATATTCCCTTCCCAAGTTCTCACATCTGAAAAACACAAAGACATTTGAAAGACTTTTACGTTAGGCTTAGCATCATTGTTACAGACATACAAGTGATATAGAAGATGATTGTAGTATATGAAGGTCTTCCATTCAGCTTTTTGTGTGGGAGGGGCTCAGGGAATGTTTTAAGTTTGTCCCAGTAACCCTGACTGTTGGACGTATAACCAATAAAAGCGTTTTAAATCAAATGACACTACTTGATAAGATCAGCAGAGATGTCTGCCCACAAACACACGTAGTTTTGGCCGTCTCTTGTCGCATGAATGATGCAGATGACTGTTCACACATCAACATCCTTCTTCAGCTTTCATAATAATAACGATATAGGCTGCCATGGCGATGCCGTCTGACCTGGTGTGGGGGAGACAGGCGGAGAAATCTGACGTGTTGCTGTACGTCCCGTCTTCACACGGAGCACAGATTGTGTCGTTTGTGTGAGTAGCTGCAAGAAGAAATACGGTGTTTCTTTTAATCGGTTGCTCATTTGTACTGTGTTTGAACGTGAGGATATTTGTTGCGTTTTACATTAAAAGCCTACCTTGAACGGTGACCCCTGAACCCAGAGCACAGGGGGAGGCTGGCCTGCAGTGTTCACACTTCTCCTCTGTACAGTAGAAACCGCTCACACACCCACACACTGCATCATCTTTAGTGGTGCACTCCTTCACTCTCATGTGGTTGTTCACTGAAAGAGTCAAAAGAGAGATTCAGGCCAGTTCCAATCCGGACCCGACACCCTCTGCCCTAGCTGCGAAGGACATCTGGAGCAATTGACTGGAAATGATGAAGATGCAGAGGAGAACTGGTTCTTAAAAACTGAAGGTTTTATTGAATGGAATACAGGAGAGTACGCAGGCACATCGTATGGCACCCTCCATTCTGCCAAAACGCTCCTCAGGGCTTCATGTTGAATGGATTCTTAGCCTGGCAGGGGTAGACATTAAGGGTACAATTCCACTGGTCCTCCGGGCCGGTGGACTTGTATTATCACTGGCCCCACCATTGTAACCACGGAGCATTCGTCCAAAACAAATCCACTAATAATGAAGAAAATTAACACATTTGTTGCAATAGTAATTGATGCACTAACTACATCACTACTTGTACTACAACATTTGAATCATCAGTTCTTCCTCATTTTCCTCAACTGTTCATATTTGGTTTATTAAAATAATGATATTGTGGTCATTGTTAAAAAATGTCTGCTATTATTATTTGTATAATGCGCTTTTCTGCCTTCCTGTCATTAGGAGTTAGAAATGTAATGGCTATGTAGTAGATTTAATTAGATCCTTCATTATCCTAAACTGCTGGGACATTTCGCCAATACCTTTATATTGTCTACTCTTCACTTACTTGTCAGCATAGGTCGGCATTGATGTACAGAGCCGACAGAAGGCCTTGTTTGTATTGGCATCATATTGAGAGGTGCAGTGACGCGTCCTAAAACCAGGAAGTAAGCTGCTGGTTCCCTCCACAAAAAGCAATGGGATTTCTCCACAGGATTCTGGAAAATAGCTGGAAATAAGGTCTGTGGAAAACAAACCTGTTTGATAAATGCACGTTTTGTTCAGCCGGATAATCTCCACATGTCTACCCTACTTTTATAATTTTCAAATCATAAATCTAATCGATAGATTATAAAAGGGTTTTAGGACGCGTCACTGCACCACTAGAAGCCAACTCCATCGATCAAGCTGAAACTTTCTCTTCCCTCTTCTTCTCATACTCCCTGTCACTCTCCTTTATACTCCTCCGGTGACTTTCTTTTATTTGAAGATAGTTTTTTGCCCGGCGCTTGCCGGTTACCGCTGGTATTAAAAACATTTGGCGAATGGTTAGGGTGGCGCGATAGTCTGTAGTGAAGGAGCGCGCTCACGGAGCCTGCTCGCGCTGCGCTCCGCAGCAAACAGCTGTTTGATTTTCACCCAACAACGACAAGCGACTCACGGAACGCTATGTTGTAGCGTTGCTCAACGAAACAGTTTAACTCAATTGCTAGTCAAAATACCAATACCACAGGACAATATTTTTTTTAAAACCCTATTTTTAGTGGCCCGAGCGGGCAAGTGGAAAGTACGTTATGCTGGCCCGGGGTGTCTAAATAGTGCTTCCCATTTATAATGTCGAGCCCTGCCTGGTCATAAACAAATCTGCCTGTAGTCAAAACATCTACACTCTAAAAGCAGAAGGCCCTCCAAAGCTGCAGATGGACGTCACAGCTTTTACTACTATCTGCTGTGACCTACTTCTCTTTTGACACAGGGTTTACATACGTCTTTGAACAGTATGGAGCTCATTACTTTCAAGCTAGTGAAATACTTTTGCTCCACACTGACAATATCAAGTTTTGATTCACAGCAGGAGTTAAAATGGTCTCCTCTTTGATGTAACTGAGCTTCAGTTTAAATAGACTCAATGGAAAACAGGAAGATGGATTTGTGCTTCAGTTAACGTAAAGACACAATTAGCAAACATCATTCTATGCTTTATAAAAAGGCAGCATGGGGGAGAAGAGGAAGTGTGGTGTGTGTGTGTGTGTGTGTGTGTGTGTGTGTGTGTGTGTGTGTGGTGTGTGTGTGTGTGTGTGTGTGGTGTGTGTGTGTGTGTGTGTGTGTGGTGTGTGTGTGTGTGGTTGTGTGTATGTGTGTGTGTGTGTGTGTGTGTGTTGTGTGTGTGTGTGTGTGTGGGTGTGTGTGTGTGTGTGTGGTGTGTGTGTTACCCTTCACTGCAGTCCTTCTTGCATTGGCGCCACTTCGACAGGTAGTTACTAGTGGCTGTGTCGGACCCGCTTCCACATTTGGCACACATTGTCATCCTTATTGCCGTCACAGTCAGAGAGCTTGTATTGTCCCTGATAACAAGGTTGAGAAAACGAAAGGCATTCAATAACAAACATACATAAATCATCAGGCCTGTTACATCAATCCAGTCTGTGAGGAAAAACGGTATAGTTTCTAATCCAAAGAAAGAAGTGAAAACGTTAAAGTGTCGACTGACCTGCAGGACAGCGATCGCAGCATTTCCCATTTTTCCCGAGGTGTTTGCCATCTGTGCAATTTATATTTGCCATTTGTTTCCCATTCGATTACAGTCCGCCGCTTGTGTGTCAAGTGTCTGAACCTAAGACGACAATGACTCTGAAACGGCTCCTAACCTTTGAAGTGACAGCTTTTTTTTTTTTTAAATGTACCTCCGCTCAGAGTACATCTCTTCCTCTGATCTCCGCTCTCTGTCTGCTGTCTGAAGGTCGTGAGGCGGCCTGTGTTCCTCTCCTGCTGCTTTACCTACTTCTCATTCAAATCCTACACAGTGGAAAACCCCAGTGCTCCGAATCTGCTGTTTTCCTCTCTCTCTCTCTCTCTCTCTCTCTCTCTCTCTCTCTCTCTCTCTCTCTCTCACTCAGTCTCACTCTCTGTCTCCTCATTTCCTTCCTGCCTTAGCCCTCTCACTGCAGAGTTACAGTGTGTGTGTTGCTGTATAGCTTACAGGCAGTATTTGCACTGTTAACTGCACAATGATACATTTCCTGTCTCCACTACCCCCCTTCCTTTCAGTCCATTGTTTCCCATGAACCTTTGTCCCAATGGCGGAGGGATGTTGTGGAGCTAAAACTGCATTGAGATGTTGTATTATCAGTTGATCTTACAAGTGTGTCCTCCTGCCATTCCTCTTACCAGCAGTCACTCCCTCAATACTGCAAACGTACAAAAAAACAAGCTACAAATAGATTTATAAAATGCCTGCGTTGGCAACATTTGAAGAGATTGAAAGTAAATTATTAGGAAAAGAGGAAGGACCGATGTTGAAGTAGTTTATTTGTGAGGAGTTTTGATCGGATAACGATGTTAACATTAAGGTGGGTTTGAATTTCTGCATTTTAAACCCACTACCACACCGTAACGATGTGTTATAGAAGGGTAGCCTTTTAGATGGAGGAATGGTTATAGCTTGGTTAAAGTGTTTTTGTCATTTATGCATCGTTGTCTCTGGCTGTATATCGTCTTGTGTGAAACTAGATTTTCTCTGGGGCCGCACGATTTGGAAATAACTTATTGTGATTATTTAACAGATGTTGTGATGTGATTTAAGAAGATCGTCGTTAAGTCAATAGAATAAGATTTGTAGGCCGTAATATCTCTCTAGCTCGACAATACTTTTTTCACACATGTATTTAGCCGTTAACAAATATTGTGCTTCCTGCTATTTGAATATTGAGCTAGTCCATGCGATTTGATTACATTTCAATGAATTGTGCACCTCTAAGTAATGGTGGCGTGTGCAGACGCAGCGGCTTGGCTCTCTCTCTGTTTGTTAGTCTAGTTTCTAGCAGCAAGGTAGTAGCATTTAACACGATCTTGTTGCACTGTCATCGCTACTACCTCTGCTTTTACCACTCTTATTTATTTGTGTCTGTTTTTTACTGAAGTGAGAGTTCCCAATGAAATTGTACTTTGTTGGATGACAATAAAGATCTATTCAATTCTATGTAATACCCTTCGTTGTCCTCACTTTTCCTCCACTTCCTCCTACATTTCTGTTAACAACGTCCCTTTGACTTTCCATACCTCCCCTCAGTCTCCTGCTCCTCCTCCTCTGTGGCTCGGCCTCCTCCATGCTGCTGGGATGGGTGGAGTCTCCGGGATATCCCAATGGATACCCGCCCCGCGCCAGTCTGAACTGGAGCCGCTGCGCCTCCAAAGGGCACACCCTCTCCATCCAGCTGCTCCACCTGCACATGGAGGACAGCCAGGACTGTGAGAATGACGCACTGAAGGTCAGAGGGTCGAGAATAAGATGGATGGATAGATGGATAGATGGATGGATAGATAGATGGATGGACAGATGGATAGATAGATGGATAGATAGATGGATAGATAGATAGATAGATAGATGGATAGATAGATGGATAGATAGATAGATGGATAGATAGATAGATGGATAGATGATGATGATAGCTGGAGAGGATAGATGGCT